AAAGCTTTGCTGTTTTGTACCCTTTACTATATATAGTTACACCACTGCAGGCATATTTCACACAACATTAAGCACTTCCCTGAGCACCATTTAATAACAAATCGTTGAGGGAAAAGCAGTGTGCATCAAAAGAATCGGCTCCATATCCTGGCAATCAGGAGGCTGTTGTCACATAGTGACACAAGTCTAACATCTCAGGTGTCTGTCTTCAGATGCAAGTTACTCGATGCTATTCCTTCTGTTTTCTATTCCAGGAGTGTCTGGGTGCCCGTCAGTGAACATATTTCAGCACTCATTTTATACCCCAAAGCAAGAGTAGACAGCTCTTGCCAAGCAGAACAAATGACCTTTTTTTAAATATTAAAATTCACAGCATTCAGCTGCCTCTGAATACTCTGCTTCATCCTGTTGCTGCAAGTGCAGCAACTTGAACCTGCCTTTGTTAACTCCAGGTCCATCAATTATTTAGAGAAAACACCTTTCCAGAGAGACTTAAGTATCAATTATTTAGTTTTTGAGCAGGAAACAAAAACCTTAAAAGAGGAAAAAAAAGCTTTCTGGAAAGGGCTGCTGGGTCATGTGAACATATTTAGGGCTGTACACTAGCAACCTGCCTGAAACAGAACGAAAAAGCCAAAATAAAACAACCCATAAAGCCAAAAGCTCACAGGCACATACAAGCTCATCAAGTGCCTGAGCCAGTTAGTGCTAAAGAGCCCCAGCTACATCAGGGGGCTTCAGTACAGTTCTTCACAAGGAAGACCCTTATCCATTTGGTATAAATGCCTGTTCTCCAGACTGGGACTGTAAACCAGAGGAAGCTCTTTTGTACTACTAGGATAACATTCAACAACGCTTACTGCAAAGATCAAGGGGAAGCAAAGCCTCTGTTTATTGCAGTCTTGCCTTTCACACTCAGGTTCAAATTAAGGATGAAGACAGGCCTAAGATTTTCAGCTTTTGCAGACTTCTAAAGACAAGGATACAGAGAGAGCTCTCAGAAGAAACATATCTACGTAGGCACTCTGGGTAAGAACAGGAATTCTTTCACTCCCACGTATCATTCATGAGCTGTACTACAATGAAAACGATAAAACACTGTTGCTTTGCTCCCAAAGAGTTGAAGAAAGACAGGAAACACTGAAGCAAAACAAGAGCTGGTCCACCCTGCCAAACAGGGGCCAAGGCACACTTTGAACCAGAAAGGAAAATAAACTTATTTTTAAATCCTGCTAAGAGCCCTGCATTTCGATATAGTTCCTCTTGGTGCCAGCATACTTTATTTTCATTTGCTAAAAGTTTTCTGCACAAGTGATAACAGAATTCACATGTGAATAATCAAGCAGAACGATGCTTCTCTCTGAAAGGTTCAGTTCCAAGATTTATGTCAGACTGGTCAAAAAGGTCAGCAAAAGCCTGGCCATTCAAGGCAGTGGTTTCAACTGCAAACATCACAATCCCTTATATTGCCAATATTTGAGGATCATCACTTTCTGCAGGTTAAACCCATTGCTGTTATCCTCATCCGTGACATGCCTAAAATAGAATTTACCCAACAATGATTTCTCAGCTTGCTGACCATACTGAAAGCAGATTTTGTTCAGTCATCTAGAATAAAGAGAAGTTGTTTTACAATGCAAAAAAAATTTCAAATGCAAGACATTCAACTATATTTAAGTAATAAATTATAGCTGCTTTTAAAATTAAGTCATCTGAGCCTAGACAATTCAGCCCCTCCCTTTCTTCTTTGCTAAATTAAAATCAGGTCTCTGTATACTTGGGAGGACACAAGCTATTAAACTTTAAGAGCCACACATATCTAACCTTGATAAGCTTTAGTTTGATTATCTCTGACATTGTTCTTAACCTTTATCAGATGCTGCTGTCTGAGCAGGACCCAAAGGGTCAAGGAGAAGGATCGTGTTTCTGCCCAAGCTGTGCCAAGGGCTGGAAGGCAGTGTCCGTACTTTCACACAAGATACCAACACTACAGCTTTAGAAGAGCCATAGATTTTAGAACTGTGCAATACTAGTGAGGAAGATGCATGACCATCCTTTGAACGTACAATCAGAAGCCATTTGGAAAAGGACCTCTTCTTAATTCGCTTTTGGCAATAGCCTGCAGCATTTACTGTTTAAAGGTCTACTTTACTTTATCTGAGGTATTTCAGCTCAAAGCAACATGAGAACCACAGCATGTTCATGAGTTCTGCCAACTGCAGCCCTCCTAGCCTGAGAAACGCACCACAGATGCCAAAACACAAGAGCCCGTTCTACCAAAACCAGGAAGTTTTGCCCCAGGTAGTCACAGTGCAAAGCAGCAAGACACAGAGAGCCCATAAGTGAAGTGCATCCGAAACCCACACACTTTTCCATGCCCCACCCAGGTGGAAATTTTTGTAAAAGCAGAAAACTACAAAAAAGGGAGGACCTGTGGAAGAGTTTAGACAATAGCTCTGTGAACTCCACTTCCCCTCACATACACCCCAATGAGAATTCTAAACTAAACACACTGAGATTTAAAACAAGAGTTTAATTTATTCACACTGATCAGTGCTCAAACTGTGCCATATCTAATCAACAATAAGAAACTTGATAGAAGACCATGAGAATTAACTGTAGGAGTTTGTCAGCAGAAAAATTACCCCCCTTTTTTTCTAAGCAGCCACTTACAGGTTATGGCCACCCACCAAAGCTCCATTAACTAATATAAATACCCCCTAAAAAAAGTCAGAGGTCAGCCTTAAAACAAAGCAATAGAAGAGATAAATATTCCTCAGTTATTCATTAGAAGTTAGCATACAACTTAAACTTCATCATCCAAATATGATTAAATTCATAAGACACCATGTCAACAATCTTCTTGCTACATCTGAGAGCAAAGTTACATCTTCAATAACAAAGAAAAAGTGTCCCAACTAAACAGTATTTTAGGGGTCAGAGCGAGGTCTTTTTATGGCCCCTTCATTAAGTATGAGAAGGTCTAAGGCCAGCAAAAGTCAGACCAGAGCACACCCCCTTTCAGTCCTGTTAGGCATGTTACCTATGTGAGGGCTGCTGCACAGACACTGCTCCTAACCAAAGATCATACTTCTTCTTTCTTTTCTGCCACCCTCTCGCTCCCTTGCAAGGAGGAAGAGAGGACAGGAAAGAGGCTTTAAACGGGAAAACAGCATAGGATTAATTTTTCTACAATGCACTAAATGTCAGGCAAAGCTTGTGCCCAGAAATAAGACTCAGTTAAGACTGATCTGGGGACTGGAGATAATGCTTCTACACAGAGGAAGCCACAAAGGGAGTTAACTGGATCAACTTACACTAAATAAAAATCGCATAGAGCACACACCAGCCAGAAAAGCAATTTTCCATGATTGCAATTTAGAGCTAGACTCCACCTTTAGCAAGTCCATCTGTGAGCAAGATCAACAAAAACAAAACAAAATGCCAAATACGTAATTTACTTGCATATTGGAAGTGCATTTATGACAGTGCTGAAAAAACAAACTTTTGGGAAGCTATTCCTAAAAACTGCTGCTTCAGTGGCATTACAATTTTGAACACCACAATCTTCTAAGGACAGGAAACAACACTATATTCTCTCCCCACCTTCCAAGAATAGAGCTAAAAGGATATAAATCACATCCTAAAAGTAATTTCTTCAAGTATCATTAACCAGAGGATAAAGAACCAACACAAATGTCCCGAATTCTTTAAAAACCCAAAACATAAACCAAGAAAAAACAAACCAAAACCAATACACAAACAGAAAACAAAACCTGCAAGTTAGTTTCCCTCACAGCTCACTTCTACTTCACACTAATGACTGGACTTGAATTCCCACCTGACCCCTTCTCTATGCACACAATTCTTCTGTCAAGCAAACAGTACTAGCACCTCAATCTTCCACTCCCAAGCACCTAAAATGCCACACCTTTATCGTGAGTATTAAGTGTCTCAGGAAGTTAGAAGAGCACATGAGTACTCACCAGAAAGGAGACTATCACACCAGGGAGCACTCACGAATAACATATACCCTGTATACTTCTATTCTCTAGAAACTGCTTTCCAGAGCTCTAGGTCACAAGCTTTATGTCCCTATAAAAAACAAACAAATCCCCAAGCAAACAAAAAAGCAGTGCTGGAAAAATCACGTCCTGACAGTTATCTTAAAAATGTCCTTCCTTCCACCACCACCACCACCTTTGAAGATCTACTGAGGAAGAGAAAAAAAAACAAACAAGTAACTTCTGTTACGGCATGGGTTTGGTTTTATTTTGGGGGTTTGTTTATTTGTTTATTCATTCAGACAGTCCCGAAATGAAACCGCTGTATTTACACGGAAGGTAAAGCGCCAGCTGAAACTGACCTGGCCGTGGAGCATCACCTGCGGGAGCCGCCGCGCTCCACGGCCGGGCCTGTTCCAGCAGGCGGCTGAAGGGGTGTCAGACAAGTCCCTCACTATCATAGCTTAAAGCTGAATAAATTTAAAATAATTGTAAAAATTAAGTGACGGGCCTCAATCCTCGCCCCCACTGCGCTCCCCAGTCACAGCCATGTCTGGGCTGAGGGCAGGGTCTGGCAGCAGCCGGTGCGACGGAGAACGGAGCGGGCAAACTGCGGCTGCGGAACCCCGAAAGGCTTTTTGGTGTTGTTTCGGTTTTAAATGTTTCTCCCTCGTGGCACCTCAACGAAACAACTTAGCGTGAGCTCCCAGAGGAAGCCTCGCCCAGCCTCTCGGGCTTCCTTTAATGGACAAGGACAATGGCAGGGGCTCGCCATAGCCCCGCGCTGCCGGGAAACTTGGGAAGCCGGGGGGCTGCTGCGCGCCTGGATCAGGGGCCGCCAGCCCCCCGGGGATGCTGCAGGGACAGACGTGCTCCGGGAAGGGGAGGTCAAAATGCGGGTGCTTAAAGACAGGGGGAGAAAGGGGCACTCCAGACAGCGAGTCCCCGGGGACAGACGGCCGAGGGGACGCCCGGGCGGGGCGGGCAGGCACTCACCGGGGGCAGCAGCCTGCTCGCTACGTCGCGCCGAGCTGGGCGGAGGGCGAGGCGGCGGTCGGCGTACCCGGGGTCCCTGCGCTGCCTCGGCTAGTCCATGGACACGGCGGCGCTCCCGGGCCCTCCTCCCGCGTCAGTTGCGCCAGGCGTGCCCGCCGGCCGTGCCCCTGCGCCGAGCCGAGCCCCGCCGGGCCCGAGGCAGCGCGGAAATGCTCGCCCGGCGCCGGCCACGCCCGCTCCCGCACGCAGCCGCGCTCCACACAAAGGGGCCGTGCAGGAAAGCCCAGCTCTCCCTCCGAACCCCAGGGCTCCCGCCGCCTTCGCCTGCTGTGACCCCTCCCGCAGCCGACCCGTGAGCACCCCCGGCGCCGGGCAGAGCCTGCGGGCAGCGGCCCCCACCCCGCAGCAGCGGCCGCCCCTCGCGGTCCCTCCCCCGCAGCCCTTGGGCGGCTCAGCCCGGGGAGAGCGCGACCGCTGAGCAGGGCCCGCGGCTTTGTTGGTTAGACCCGGGCCGGGGCCGGGATGGCCCCGTTCCCCCACCACCACCACCCACGCCGGCCCTGCGGAAGGGTCTCAGCCCAGCCCAGCCCAGCCCAGCCCAGCTCGCCTCGGCGGAGAGAGCCCGGCACAGCCCTGCCCTTAGCGGCGCCTCTCACCCCCCTAGGGCTTTGGGGCACGAACCAGCATGTCAGGGACGGGCACATGCTGGGTACTACTGAAGGCACGGCCGAGCTTACCTGGGAAACCAGAAGGCGAAGGAAAAAAAAAAATAAAACGATTCCGAAGAGTATTTTGAGTCTTCAGGCGTCCCAGGGGTTTTATGTTTCTCGTTAGGGGCGCTGGGAAGAGACGAGGGAGGGGAAGGAAGGGCTGAGCTGTTAAAACCCATGTGCTGAGCAAGTGATAGCTCACACCTGCGGCAGCCACCACCTGGCAGCTGGGAAATGCCCCCTTTCCTGCCTAGCTTGGCTCCCAACCTCCTTACAGTGCTTCTGCTCCCGTTCTGTATCTTGCGATCTCTCCAGGCACCTTCATTCCCTTCCTCAGATACAGAGCAAAACTAATTTCTTCAGTGCCTCGCTAACTATGAAAATACGCGTGTGTTCAGGAAGGCAAGGCCAAAGGACGGAGTGCAGCACCACGGAAGTTTTTACGGCCGCCTTATGTGCTATGCACTTCCTTCTCCTGCTCCAGCCTTTGGACTCTGGGGAATTCCTTATTCTCCCTGGATCAGCAATCCCATCGAGTGCTCAGATGCAGGTGAAAGGGACTGTTGAATAATCAAACGGTGTGAGATTAGCACTTCTTTTGTGTGATAATACTCCACTCGGTCAAGTCTGACAACCAAAACCGTGCTAGAAATACTAGGGTGTAAGTGCACAGTTCCTCTGACCCACATCCCTCCGAGGTCAGACAGAGCACATACACTCCAGTGTGTCACCCACATTATCGAGATTCCCTCTCGTTTCCTACCAGCAGTTTTTCAAAAAATGGGGTTTGGTTTTGGGAGTTTTTATTATTAAAAAAAAAAAAAAAGGAAGGGAGGGGTGTTTGCAGCTTCCTTAACCTTGCTCAAGACTTCTTAGAAACCAAAGTAAAATTCAATTGAGTGTTAAAGCTGACAGAAGATGCTAGAAGAAGATTACCTGAATTTTAGGGAGGATCTAAGTGGGCAGCTAGGACAGGTTATTGGATTATAAGATGGTAAGAAGAACTAGAAGAGATCCTCTCTCCATCTCAGTAGTACTAAAGTATTCTCACAGAGCACTGAGTCACATCTCCAGAAAGTCCAGAGCCAAAGCAGAAAGCTTCATTATGCTGATTCTGTAAGGGAGGGGAAGATGGAGGGTGCAAAAGTAACTGTTAAGATTCAACAGGGAAAATAGGAATTTCGGGGAAATTCAGCAGCTTTAGGATGTAAGGACTGTGGAATTAGGAAGGGCATTCATAGGTAAAACAAGGCTCTCATGCAATTTAAAATGGTTAGTGTTAGCAGTTCACAGAGTAGTTGAATTGACTGTGTTCATTGTTAGCATGGAGATGGTTCAAACAACTTCTGTGTCCCATTTATTTCCCTTTGACATTATCTCTCACAGTGCTTTCACTGTGTTGCCAAGAAAATTAGGGTAAAAATCTCATCCATCACAGAAACCATTAACTAAGTGCTAGGGCAAATTGGAAGACTTTTAAAAGAAAGTCACTTCAGCAGTAAGAGCATGTAATAATACTGTGGGAATGAAAATGGAAAATCTGATTTTTTCGTGAACTTGTGCAGGCTGATGTTCATGTATGGTTTGTCAATGCTGTTTCCTCTGACCACTGCAAAACATTTCCTGAAATTAATGAATATTCCATTATGAGGAGCAGCTGGTGGAAAATGGCATGACCAGAGCTATTCACAACTGTATCTGCTCAGCATTATCATCAAACACCATTTTTCAGTGTAAAAAATTTCTATTTATGGAGGGAGGTTTCGGGAAATTAGAGTTAGAGTTGGAATTGTCATGTGGTTTGGATAATTATGAAGTGAAGAGAGAGGGGTGCGTGGGGAAACAAAGCCCACAGAAGCCACTAAGAGACTTCAAACAGCTTCAAATACAAAGAAATCAATAGCGGGATCTAAAAGAGAAAGCAGAAGTATTTTAGGGGAAAACCTTTATAACACGTTAGAGATCGATTAGAAGAATAAAAATTAGGCTGGAACTAGTCAGATATCAAATAAAATTAGGGGGGATTAGGCTGGATTGGTGATCGAACTTTGTCCACAGCTTTTCCCCACCTCCGCAGCTCCTCCTGCTGCTAAAAGTGGACATTGCACCTGTCCGCTCCGGCCAGGAGTGTCCACTCACACACCGGCACAATCGAAAATTAGTATCACAAAAACGTAATATGTTACTTTTTGTAAGTATTACAGCGAGTCTGTTAATAACGTATTCCCTCCGCGATCACTTAGAAGTACCTGTATGCCACAGAGTGTGTCATTCAATACGGTATATCCTTCCTCCAACTTTCTTACTCTTAAAAGGAAAACGCCCACTCAAGTAAAAAGGGGGCAGGAGTAGATGTCTTTGCTACATCTACATCTTGGTTAGAATCTGTTATGCAAATCTTTTACTGCAGAAAACCCCTCGGGTTTACTGCTGACCCGCATTTTGTCTGGGGCAGCAGTGACATCCAGCGGTGCAGAGAGAAGGAGAAACTCGCTCGTTTTCTTTCTACCACAGCGAGTCACAGGAAACGCATCAGAAGGCAGGGATTCCTCGGCATTCCCTTCTCTTTGTGGATATTCGGAAATGGCACCAACTGCAGGCAATTTGACAGCCGTGGGAATAGATAACCCACCCGGGGAAACAAAAATGCAGAACTGAAAACACCCTCCAGGCCAGACCATTTTTCCAATGGCCGTAAAAGGACACTGCAGATAGGAAATGAACTTTTTATCTTAAAGTTCAGATAAAAACACTTTCCTATATTACACCTACCCTCCTGACTCCACGGAATTTTCATGTTTTATTATTATTTTTTTTTCCTTTTATTAACCCTGGTTATGTGCCGAAAAAAAAAGATGCACAGGCTGACAAGCAAAGGAAAGTTGACCGAAGAGAAATTACTGTAGTGGAGTTTTGTTTCTCAAGCCCTGAATAAACAAACTTTAATAATTAGAGTTTCCAGTAGCCAATGAGTGTTGAACTGTGATGTGATATTTGATGCACCAAGAAGTGATTTAGATTTTCGGTACATGTCATGTTAAAAGAGAAAAAAAAAAATCGAAACATTAGATCCATACAAGGAACTGGGCCAGCAGAGGCCGCTGTTAGCATAACAAAATCAACAACTTTTTTTTTTTTTAAGAACATTCTAAATTTAAAGAAAATATTTTTTCTTTTTAAAAGTCAGACCTTGCAGTCTGCAGCATTGGAAATTCACTAAGATTTAATTTGTTCCTCCTTCACTATTTTGCTGGGGGGTTTATTTCTTCAAGACTGCCCATTTCCAATTGTTATTAACAATTCCTTGCTCCTAGGCACCACCTATTTTCTATCCTCCCCATTTTTATTTTGTCAAAATGGAGTTCAGAAAGGATGAGTCAAATCCAAACAATCCTAAGGCTGGCTTGAAAAAACAAATCAGATTTTTCAATAGTAAATTTTTAGAACATTTTTAGATGCCATTTTGACCTTCCATGGCTCCAAATTTTGACTTGATTTCTGAAATATAGGGTTAGAAAACTGTGAGTAAGCTTACATAACTTTCAAATCAAGAAGTGTACTAACTGTTTAGGGGAACTAACCCAGGTCTGACATAGTTACTGTATAAACACCTTTGCAGAACCTGACAGAGCAGAGAACTTAGTTTCCAAGAGTATTTTAATAAACACCCTCAAAAAGACTTTGTGCATCTTTCTAAAACTATTTTTATACTAAAGGAACACTTCAGCATGTTGTAGCATTAGTGATTTATGTGTTTAACAGCCATTCTACTGCCATAAACATTTTAAATGCTGGACAAGATAGCTTCCTGCTTTTGTTTCCAAGATCACGAAACACATTCCCTTTGGGTGGGCTAAGAGCAGGGCTGCAACCCCGTGGCATCCTTGCCATCATCCAGGACTTTCTGCAGTCTGACTGTAAGAACGGGTGGCCAGCTCTGATAGAGTGGGTGGATTCAGCTGCATGTACACAAAATTGTAAGTAGATGCTCTCCAGTTTTAGCAGGTTCTAAAGGCACTTTATCTCCAATTTCTTGGAATTTATCTGGCTTCCATTCCATTCTCCAAGGACTGTTTATGCCTTTCACATTTCATGTTTACGTGAAATGCATAAAAAGCCCTTGAAACAAGGCCTGAAATCCAGGTCTAAGATCAGTACTTTCTCTGTCATTCTTTGTGAAGGATACATTCTCTGCAAATGGCAAGGCTTTCTAGTTCCCCCGAGAAAGAAAACTCAGAACACTACAGGAGCCACAATGCAGAATTTTCCTATTTTAAGATATTTGTTACTAGTAGCATGTTGCAACTGCAAGAAACACCCATTTCTTTTAGCATCTCTTTTGTGTTTCTACCACTTGCACTCCCCAGTAACCACACACCTACTGCAGACAAG